CAATGTTGCCACGTCTACCGAATTTTCGGTAGATCTACCGATTTTGGGACCGATCTACCGATTGAAGCACCAAATCTACCGAAAAGTTTACGATAATTCAAGAAAGAAATTTTTATTTTCAATGTATCTAAAAATTCTCAATAAAACATTTCTTTGTACCTTCATTTCTTATATATTGTAAGAGACTTTATTGCAAAGATTCTGTCTCGTTTTGTTGAGAATATCTTGTGTCTGCCCCATTCTTCAGCTAATGGAATAGAAAGAATATTTTCGTAAATAAATCTGTTAAACACGAAACACGGAAATAAACTGACTTGTGAGCTCTGAAACAATCACTGGCTTACTTCTTACTAAACAATTAATTGGATAAAAATACTGTTACGATTTTCCTGTAAAAGATAATTTAATTTCAAAAATAAGAAACTGTGTTAAAAACATACAAACGGAAGATATTGAATAATAATAATTATTATTAATATCCGAAAAATAAAAGGTAATACTGTATTTTGTTAGAAAAATAAGACAAAATGTACCTACTTAATTAGTAAATTATTATTTTTTTATGTAAGTGTTCTGTGTTAGTTTTTTTGCTTTTTATTGTTTTATAATGTATAATAAAATAAATGACGAAAAAGAATGTTATTGTTTATGTGCAACCTCCTTTCTGCCACAAAAAGTCGATTTACCGAAAAATTACCGAAATCTACCGAAAATTGTCTAATGAATCTACCGATGGCAAGCAAATCGGCGTGGCAACATTGCTTTGGACGCCGGAAGTGAACTCACGTAGACTTTGGTTCGCCGTGGACGCTTGAAGTATTATTTTTGAACTTAACTGGCTCCACTATCTTTTGGAATTGACTTGATAACTTTTTCTTACGTTTCTTACTTTATTTGAAATAAATGTTTGTTTAGTTAATAAAAAATGAATAAGTTTTTAAAAATTTTGTTGTCTGTTGTATTCAGAATCGCAAAATCTTCATTCCAGAAAATGTCCCCCTTGAGAATAAAATCGACCTGTCCGAGCGATTTGCTTGGACGAACTCGATATCTCTGCCGTTTCGTTTTCGTTGGGACACCCTGTATTATTCATCCCCAATCTGGGGTCTCGATTATTTATATAAATTAGAAACCTTTCATGTTTACTTTCTCCGCAAATTACTTCATCTGGAAAGAACTGTCCCAAGATACGCAATTCGCCATGAAACCAATCGTATATACTCTTTTCCTTTGTTTATGAAACGAATAATAAAATTTTATTACCGATTAAAATTCAAATGTGACAGTAATATTACCTTTTTACATCAAGAATCAATCAAATGTAGTAAGAAATCAACCACAGTGCACCTCTGGCAATCCAAACTAAATAAAATACTAAATTCCTTTGGAATATCTGACTTACTATTCAAAGATGACATTCAAGACTGGAAGTTTGGTTATACTATGTTAATGGAATCAGCGATTGACCATTCTATAAATATGGATCAAAATAGTTTAAATCAAAATACCTATCACCCTTGGTACCTAAAAATTTTACAAATACCTTCATCACAACCTTATATGACAAATCCAATTAACTTTAATGTGAAAAGACTGATTGCACAATTACGCTTAAATAAATTCTCGTTATATATTAATAATACTTATATTGACCTATCAAACAATCTTTGTCCATAGTGTAAAACCAATGACTTTTCAATTGATCATTACAAAATACGTGAAACTTTTAACATCTCCCGAATACTCCAAAACGACTCATCTCAAGATTATAGAAATATTTTAAACAGTCTGAATAAAAAATATCTCTACAGTTTGTATAACTTTTTCACTAAAATCACAAAAATGTTGTAAATCTACGCCAGTATATTAAACATTACCAACATTGTACATCTGACTGTTAATGTAAATAATATATAACTATCAAATTGTTTAATACTAATATCCTGTATATTATGTAAATATTGTTAAAGAATTTATAATATCCCTTTGTATAACCCCTTGCAACAGAGACACTTTCTTTTATGCTAATAAAGATTATTACAGTATTATTATTATTATAAAGATTGATTGATAATAATAATAACAATAACAATAAGCGCAGAGCCCAAACAGTTAGAAGTTGAAAGTTGAAAATTCAGTATAGTTAGGGTACGCCATGCAAATGCACACTAAAAAGAGACTTTTGGAAATTCTTTCCGGCCAGGAAGAAGGAGAGAGAGAGAGTTAACGATTACCCTGAAGAACTCGGCTTCTACTGTAATATTTTAGATGCGGGGTTTTTTGCGATTTTGTGGAAACGGAACACATTTTTAGACTCGTCTAAATATTTTGTAATTAGTCTCGGAATAGTGGGACGTAATTCTTTTACCCGGTGAAAACGGGTAAAATCGGAAATGAACTAATAATCTTAATCTTCGCTATCATTACTTTTTGTCCGAGAAATGCCGAGCTCATCTGCTAGTTTATAGTATTTTTTTTTTTAATATTAGCTAATATTATAGCTAGTTTATCATATTTTATTTGTAAACTGATAATCTAAGTATCAATTACCATCCGTATTTTGAAAATTGTAAACAATATCTAACACAGTATATAACAAAGCGATATTGACGATCAGTACGAGTTTCTAAATATAATTTAAGAAATAATATTTTCGAACTATGGACTTTTTCTTCAGGTGATATTTTTTAAATATTTTCTATATTTTAAAATTAAATTATAATCATAACGTATCATGAAACTTATTAATTGCAGATATTTTATTCTTATACATTCTTATGCGTTTTAGTATAGAGAGGTATATTTAAACTTTTTTGATTATAAACTTTTTAGTCATAATTTTAAGTTTATTGATCTGAAATTTTGAATTGAAGAAGATAACAAGTTTAATTAAAGATTGCTCTTTTTTCGATTTCGCTACATAATGTTATTTAAAACACATACCATTATTCCTATTTACACGGAAAATCAACTGCAATCAGTCAAGCTGAAATCTACATTTTTCAACTGAGATTTTTTTAATCCCTCCATAGACTCGTCATCTCCAGTAATTTCACAAACTGAGTAAATACATACCAGTAAATCAAACAACTTAACACAAAACTCTTCAATACCTTCTTATCGATCAAATTATAGGAAAGCTACATAACACCTCTAAAATGTAAACAAGTGACACTTCTCTGCTGACACTGAAAAAACCGTTCATACCTCTGAATGTTTTGCATGGAGAGATTTATAAAAATCAAAATAATTTAACACAGCTTCTCCCATCATTGTGCTTGTACAAGTATAGATAAATTGGGATACTACGAACAGTAAAATATTACCTTCTCAATACAACTGAATATTATACAATAAAAAATGATTCCTCTGAAAAAACGTTTTTGATATCAAGTCTCTTATGGCTACTTACTTTTTTGTTTGTGCGGCTCTACAGGACAATTATTGTAAGTTGGAAAGTTGTATAATTGTCTGGAATATAGCATATGTTGGAAATGTGATCCTAATAGTGATCAGGTGTTTGGGACATGGCATCGTTTATCTTATTAGATCTAACTTTTGCCTGCAAGCTTGGCTTTGTAATCGTTCACTGTTCGTCTCTTCCTTGGCACGACTGTCACATTTTATTTCAAATATCTGTCGTCCTATAAGCCCATATGCAGAAGATCCTCGATTTTCCGAAGCATTTTTGTTGTTTATGGATATTGAAATCCATAAACAACAAAAATGCTTCGGAAAATCGAAACATTTTTTTTACCATCACAGGTAAAAACATTATTTTTATTTTTGACATTGAAGTCAAAAATAAAAATAATTTTTTTACCTGTGATAAATATAAAACCATGGTGTAGCACAAAGAACATTACACAGTTCAGAAAATTAATGAGACTTCTCCTTTTCCATTTAATGTCTTCTTCTTCGCAATATAGGCCTACTGCGTGTCTCTTGATGTCGGCTGCCTTTGCTATTGATGAAATGAAAGAAGTAAAGTTTATCTTTATCAGTCGTATTGGTTCAGTAATTGATGGATTGATAAAATTTTATCAAAGTGTCGATGAGACTTCTGAAATACTAAATGATTTTTAACACCATATATTTTGTATAGGCTACAGCACATATGCATTCAATATGCAAATACAGTATATAATAAATGAAAAAATAGTTTCACGTAGTGTTTTTCCCTTTTTCCATATTATGGGGTAGTCATGAATATGTTGATATAGAGCAGTACTTCTCGAACTTTCTTGGATCATCGCCCCCTTCGTTGTGACTGTTAATAGTAATGCCGCGTTCTGTGTACACAGGGGCCATCCTATCATGCCTAAAGCCCCATTGGACAATTTAAACGCCCTCAGTAGCCATATCACTTAGTTTCAAAAGAACTATTCTAAACCAAACAGGTGTGGCTGCGCAGGATCCAGCGAAGAACCTCAAATTAAGGACTACATTAATTTTTATATATTTTATGATAAACTTTGATTTTTACTGTGTCCACTGTCTAGTGTTGTAAACGAATACAGTTTTATTTAAAACTGTATTCGTTTTCATTCAAATAAATGAAGAATCATGTGACCAAGGGCTTATTTTTCGAACTTTTAAACGATATTTTTCTCTATTCATAAAATACTTATTTTAAGTTGTTAATAATTTCAAAATTTCATAAAATTTAATGTTATGAAACTTAATAATTTTGTAATTATACAGGAGTCGTAAAGATGAAAGCAAATATTTAAAAGACTTAACGCCACAATATATATAATATAAAGTAAAACATCGTTAAAAAACATAAATGTTACAACTTAATTTCATTTTAAAATTAATAATTAATCTACATCAGGATTTTTTACAAATGAATTTCAAATATTTTTTACGATATTGTTTTCAGTGCATTTTTGAAAGTCACTCTGATACAGAAATTACACCTGAAATAAAATTTATATTTGGAAATATTGAAATGAAGTTACGATTTAAACAAATTTTAAGCTATATAAAAGAGATTTTATAGTATAATTTAAGGTTATCATTTGTATTCATCGTACTTTTTCTCAATTGGTGTCATTAGCAACATGAATACTCTTATAAAGTGGGCCTTGTTGAAATATATATGTGCATACATATACAATTTTATTATGACAACATAAATTAATGCCAATTTTCTTTACAGGGTTTTTAACCGAAATTTACAAATATTTATATTGCTTGCAATTCTGTTTTGCAATGGAAATGCAGAAAATAATGGAAATGAACGGGGTGAGTAAATAAGTATTATTTCTTAATAACAAATGTTTATTAATTCTCACCATTTCATGGCATTTGCAGGAATTGCACGAAGGATGATTGGTGGTAAGGAAGTTGAAATTCAGGATTATCCATTCATGGTGAAGTATTTGTATTAATTATTATATGCATTACACTTATGAAATAATTAAAACAAATATATTTTGTTTTTAGATGGCATTATATTTTAAAGGAGATTCAATACAAGATTATGGCTATTTTGGTGGAACTTTCACATTGATAACATCGAAAACTGCATTAGGATGTGCTCACATACTATTTAAGTATGATTTTAAGTAATTTTTTTATATATACATAAATAAAAATGTAATTATTAATACTATAATATATTTTACAAAAATATCGTTATATATTTAGATCATATTTCGATATATTCATTATTTTTATTTGTAATATTAATATGTTTATATTATAGAAAGAAACCTGAACAGTTTTATGGGATAATTGGTCACAAAGATAAATTCCTTGGGAAAAAAGTCCATTTTAAAAAGTTAATTGCACATCCGCATTTTGTTGGTACAACATTTCTTTTCGACATAGGACTTTTAATACTAAACAGCGCCGTTTCTTTATCGAGCAGTCCTCTTGTTCCCCCATATGTACAAACAATCGCTCTACCACGTACGAATATAGAATTTTATTCGGGAACGGCAGTAACGGCTGGATGGGGGAATACCGGAAAAAGTTAGTAAATGGTGAATTTTTCAAAATATTTTTAACTAAGACAACTTTTTTTAAAAAAATAAACTGAAATAATATTACCACTTTTCACTAAATTGAATTCCGAGAAAATACTGTGAAAAAGTATATAAATATCTTTTTACTAAACGTTTCAGAATAAAAGAAACAGTAAGAAAAGTCAAAATATAAAACAGTTTCT